TTACCTCATTATGAGGATATTATTCGACTTCTACATCCAAGTTCAATAAAACCAGTGGTTCGATTGGTTTGGTTACCCGATCCATCAGGATTTTATACAACAAAAACAGGCTATGTCTCGTTAAAACAAAAAGATCAAGACTTGAGAGACATAGGATTTAGCTGGAACGGAAATATTTGGCATCATCACGTCTCTCCAAAGGTGAAACGTTTCATGTGGAGAGCAGCTACGGATGCATTACCAGTGGGACGTAATCTGATCTCTAGGGGGATAAATTCGAATCTTAGGTGTAAGCGATGTGGTCAGTTCGAATCAACAATTCACATCCTATTCACATGCCCTTTTGCTGTAGAGGTTTGGAACAGATCCCCCATCTTGGGAGGACCATCTCAATTCACCAATACAACCACGATACACCAACTGCTGGAATCCATCCAAAAGTCAAAAACCCTTCCACCAACCTGTCTCGCGACGATACCGTTATTCCCTTGGATTTTTTGGAAACTCTGGACTACAAGAAATGTATTTTTGTTTGAAAATAGATCAATCTCATTGGAGGAAACAGGGACCAACGCAAATAAGGAAGCAAGGGAGTGGCATGAAGCTAACGTGCTCCCAAAGCAACAAAAACAGAATACCCGAACAGATACATCAGAGCCTCGTAAGGATCAGCCAACTTGTTTTATTGACGGAGCATGGAATACAGAGACAAAACAAGGAGGCATGGGATGGACAAGGGGAGGAACCATCTGTCAAGGCTCAGAAGGACAAGGTTTCATCGCATCAGCACTCGTATCAGAAGCTTTAGCTCTACGGTTAGCTCTCAAGAAGGCAATAGCATTGGAAATGTTAGACCTTCAAGTGTTTTCGGACTGCCAAGTCCTTATCACAGCCCTTAAACCGGCACGGATCAGAATGAGATTGCAGGCATCCTAGTGGATATTCGAAACCTTGTAACTTTCTTCTCTTCCTTATCCTTCTTTCATATCTCGCGTAATTGTAACTTTGCAGCTGATACCCTAGCTAAGGCAGCTCTTGCAAATGTAAGTCCCGACTGGGACATGAACGGTTAAGTTAAGTAACGTAATACAAGTATTGACC